TACCAAACCTATTGGACCCTGAACTTCATGCTATTTGCAACCTCTAGTTTTCTATTATTCAGGCCCAATTTCTATCTTTTTTTAACCTTTTTTTTACAACATAATTAGTTTTGATTTATTTAATTAAAATTGATTTAGACTTCTAGGGTTTTTAATCATTTTCTAATTAATTTAACTAATCAACTATTTTTTATATAATTAAATTAATTTCTTTTTTTAATCAAAATTAATTAAGTTTTTTTAATTAATAATTTCTTTCCTAATCAACATTAATTAGGGTTTTAATTTATTAATCATAAATATCTTTTTTTTCATAAAAAAACAATAAAAAACGTTCATGTTTCCTCCGATTCAAATTTTTAGGTTAACCGTTCTATTGCGAACGTTTCTATTTCTTGCATTTCTTTTCATCATTATTTGTAAATGTCTATGGGATGTAATAGTTAATTAGGGTTTATTTTCCGCATCTTTCTACTATTATGTAACTGCCCCAAAGCCTTGGAATAGCTTAAGGTTTATTTTTTGCTTTTATTTTCTGCTTTACTTTTCTGTACTTTATGGTTTTATTATGTTTACTGTATTACTGTTAGTAATTAGGTCATGTATGGCAAGATCAAAATGAAACGATAGCAAACCCTAATGCAAGATAAATAGTAACTGAAACACAAGCCACTTTGCACACTCACACCTCTAGGGTAACCTCCGTCGTTGCCTCGGAAAAAGAGTCATGTCCCTCGAGTGTGGGGACACTTTAGTATTGTCCCTCGAAAACAAAGATCGTAGTCCCTCGATAACCCTTTCGAATGTTGCCTTCAATAAATGATCTAGTCTCTTACGAAATTGCTAAAGCTTCCTTATAAGTTGCCTTCTATGACTGTACAATGACCCGTGCCAGTCCCTTCACATTCAATGATAGGGCTTCCTACTAACTAATGGTATGGTAGTACTATCTAAAGGAGGAGGAAAAGAACAATAAATACCTTAAGTAGGTAGAACATTCGTAGTCGCTTGCTCACAAACTTTTCAAAATGAAACATATTTCAAAATCACTTTCAAAAATATTTTTACAATAAACACTTTGTACGTATTCTCGAGGATAGATACGGGGATCATTACAAAGTTGCCTTACTATTGACATTTTCAAAATATTTTTAAACACACTTTCACAAAGCAAATTTTCAAAACAAAGTGAGCTAGTGATTAAGAGCCCGTAGATAACTACAGAAGAAAAGGGTGCTAACACCTTCCCTTTTCATAACCTACCCCCCGAACTCAAAAATATCGAAGGTTTTTCCTATTCTTTTCACCTTTTCCTTATTGGATAAAAGAAAAGCCGGTGACGACTCTTGCTATCTGCCATATTTGCGATAAAACGCAAAATAAGTCAGTTCTCCCACCGTATTACAACATTTTTTAAGAAATAGGGTTTTAAGTTTTATTAGGGGAACTCACCACGATTTTAATCGTATGCCTACGTGTCCTCTTAGGAGGAATCAAAGTCCTATTTCGTAGTTCATAGTTGGTGTGTATTTTTTATGGGTTAAAAATTATATTTGAATTTTCCGTATACTCAGTCTAGGTGTATGAATAGCGGAGATATTTAGACAGAGTACGCAGTTAATTCAAATATATTTGTAACTCTTTTTGAAGAATAATTTTTGGATTAAATTTATTTACGAAAATAATGTGTCGTTGGTTAAGTAAATTTTAGCATACTAATTGTGAAAGTATTATAATTAAAATGCATGATTAAAAGAAATAATTTAATGTAATAAAATATATTTGAATGTATTTAGAAAAATATACTATGGATTTATATGATAATAACAAAATAACATAATATTATAATTAATAAAAATATAAGAAAATATAAATATAAAATTATAAAAAATAATAAATAAATAAAATAAAAAATAGAAAAAACGCAAGGGGTGTGTATTATACTAAGCTAGTAGAGAGGGAGGTCTTAATAGCATGGGCCTGAATTCAAATATTGAATTCAAGCCCAAAAGACAAGTCAGGTATGTTTCTATTCTGTGTAGTAATATTGGGGGGCGTAAGGAATCAGAGCCCAAGTCCAGATTTTGGACTTGGCCCGTTTTGGCTTGGGGTGTATTTATGGGCGTGTTAGTAAAGAGAAAAACAAAAGGTTGTGCAATTAGTAAATGGGATCGGCCCAACACAAGCTTTGGGAATCCGTTTTGGCTGCATGTGGGGCGGTGTATGGTAATATCATAGGCACGCGCATCTGGGGTGTTAAATTAATATCAGATAGTCATGATGGAAGACATGCGGTAATAACGATGGGCTAACATGCACTGGATAATACGACTTAATGTAACTGTTTTATTATCCTTTTCATCTTATTTGTCTCTTCTCTCTTTGCGTTATCTCTTCCCTGCCCCTCTCAACAGCAAAACCACCCCAAACCCTAACCTCTTCTAGGAAGCGATCAGACCTCCAAACCTCGCGATCAAAGCCATACCCCCTTCGATTCAACCCACAGAACCCCAATTGCAACATTGATTAGAAAAAAAACACGAGAGCGAAAGTTGAGTGTTCATTACCCTTTTTGTTGATCCTTGCGTTCGCTACAAATTTGTCTCTGATTTTATTCCTTCTCGTTTTTTGAAGGTACGGAAGTGGGGTAGAGATGATGATGGCACACGTCGGGTGATGATGAAGAATAAGGTGACGGCGGACTTAGGGTTTTAGATGTTGAAACCCTAGGTCTAGGCAGGTGGCTCGACGACTAAAGCACGAAAACCTCCTTGTTCTTTTCTCTGTAAAAAAAATTGTCCTCTCTGTAAAAATCTCTTTATTGTAATTTTAATTTCTCTCTTTTTTCCCCCAAGTTCCGCCCCCCCTTCTTACTGTAACTTTAGGCCTTTTATATATTTTTATGAATTTTGTAATTTTAGGAAAGAGGCAAGTTCGTCTGTAAATTTGCTGCAGGTTTTAATCAGGGTTGAATACAATTTATCCTTTGTCTGTAATGTTTCGATTGGTTTTGATTAGTATTGATTAATTTATGAATGCAAATGTTTGTTCTTGATTCTGTTTCCAATTTTGTTTCAAAGATTTGAACAATACGTGTTAGCTCTTTTTGAACAAGCGTTATCTCCTTTGGATCGATACAGTACGCGTTTGTGTTATTTGGTTTTTGGGCCAATCATTCTACTTTGGGCCTAAAACAAATGGGTCATTTGTGATGGCCTTTCATATTTCTCTCTCAACTCAATAAGACAATTAAAAAACAATATAAATAGAAACAATAATATTGTTAAACAAAACCATTTTAACAAAATAGTGAATAATGATAATTGATAATAATTATAATTAAAACAAAATAATTCAAGATAAAACAGAACTGAACGGGCCACTGCCTTTTTAGTTATTTTGCCTGATGATTTTAACAAAAACCAATTCAATTTTAATGGACTCTTAAAATGGGTCATACAAAAATAACTTGATGGGCCAAAAGATTCAAATGGATCTTTCTTGATTTTTTAGAAGGCCCACCGGCTTAAAATACCAACAATGCACCTCCCTTTTTAGCTTGAAATGGACTTTTATTAAAGTCTAATGGGCCATCAGATATTGATGGTCCATTTGGATCAATACACCCTCTTTGATTTTAAACCCCCATAGAAATAAAACCTATATTATGCAATTTATTAAGTTAGAGACCTAAATATAATATAAGGGTAGGACATATTTGGGGTATGACAGTCGGGCTCCTTATGTCAATGATCGTCTGGCGTTTGTGTGGATTGAATTCTATTCCCCGATTCTTGAGCATGAACCATAGGAACTTCCTGGCCTGAACCCCAAACATACACTTGTCTGGGTTCAAGCGCATGTTATAACTTCGCACCGCCGCGAAAGTCTCTTCCAGATCCTGAACATGCCTCTGTTCTTCAACCGTTTTGATCACCATGTCGTTAACCTCAGGATCGATTCTTTGAAGGTGTCGGCCATAAGCTTACACTTCAGCAAATTGTTAGCACCGATTATTGCTATCATATTCTTAACAGCAGTGATGTGCTCATGGGGATTAGATTTGTCGTCGTATGTTGTAAATGTCGGAGGTTTGAAATTCTCTGGAACCTGATCGCCCCAAATAGCCTGAGATGATGGATGAGGCTCCAAAAGCTCAAGCCCCTGTTCACCATCATCCTAGCTCTTCATCTGCAAGACCTGGAGGGGATCCTCGATCATGGCCAATAATTACGCCATGCCTGGAGGGGGATCCTCATCAGAAGACATTGCTCAAAGGTGTTTGGATAATGCGGCTTGGGAAAGTTTTACCAGGCCCCACGGTGGACGCCAAATGTTCTTGCTAAACATTAAATATGTGACTTCTCTGCTAGTTGAAGAATATCAGAGAGAGCCTCAAACAAGTGAGAGTGAATTGTTTATGATATTAAGGGATTCAAAGGTTTACACAAGTATGTGTGAGCTCCAAACCATGTGTCTTGCTTACCCCTCAGTCGAAATTCCTATATATAGAGGTGCGTAGACCTTATTGATCACTGCATATAACTGTGGTGCATATTCATCATATGTAACTTAGTTGCTATTAAGGCAAGAAACGTCTGTCATTGCTAATGATGACTATTATCATAACATGCACCGTCATGTATTAATGAGCGGTTACGCCCTTAATGGGTTGGGCACTCCGTAACAGCCTTATCAGGGTCAAGCTCTATGTAACATCTGGATCCAGGGATAGTGTTCGAGTATAAGTTTGGCTAACGCCTCTTCATCTTTCTCTATGACCGACCACACATGCCTCTGACTATACAACCCGACTCAAACATGAAGATCTCAAACCGAAGTACTACCCGACTAAATATTTATTTATTCTCCTTGACTTTTTATCCATATCTTACCTTTTCATGTCTCCTAGCCAGAACAATGGATATATGTATGAACAATATATAAGCACATTCATTAGGATTAGAAACCCTAACAAACACACTCTTCACCCTTTCATCATGCATCTTCATCACTCTCAAAACGACACGGTTTCCACTGCCATTATTCTCCGAATTCCGCCGCCTTTCTCACCGGAACAATTCATTCCACCGCCTATCTTACCGGAAGAACTCATCACAGAGATTCTCTTGCGGCTTCCGGTGAAGTATCTTGTTCAATTTAAGTGCGTCTGCAAATCATGGAAAACCCTAATCTCCGATTCCCAATTCGCAAAGAATCATCTTCAAATCTCACGCATGACCACTCAACAATGGGTGTTTTCCGATTTTGAAAAACCTTACAAAATCGCATCTTACTCTTTGAAGCCATTATTTGAAAACTGGTCAACCCCTGTTAAACCCGTTACCTTGGGTCACATGAAGAATATCAAGAGATGTATTATAGGTTCATGCAATGGTCTGCTATGTGTCTTTCATAGCTCTCAAAATACTGTCAAACTGTGGAACCCTTCTATCCGCTTCAAGTCCAACAAATCTCCACCAGCCGTTTCGTCACACGATTGGCTTATCTTGCAATATGGCTTTGGATATGATCAGGTTAACGACAAGTACAAGATGCTATTAGTTGCGCGACATAAGCGTGATTTTACTCAATCTTTGAGCAAAATTTATACATTTGGTGAAAATATTTGGAAAATCATTCAGAATTTTTCCATTAGGCCAACTAGGAGGATAGGAAAATTTGTGAGTGGCACTCTCAATTGGATGGTATATAAAAGTGATGATATTGATGATCAACTCATGAATATTTTTTCCTTTGATGTAGAGAAGGAAACTTACAGGGAAATGTTATTACCTCAAAATGATGGTGATAATGTCCGCACACATCCTAATCTATATGTTTTGAGGAATTGTCTTTGTGTGTGGGATTGTAACGGTGTTGTGTGGTTGATGAAAGAGTATGGCGTTGTTGAGTCATGGACTAAATTGATGATTATTCCTCTGGAGAAAAGTCTATTGTATTTTGTTGACCCTTTGTTCATTTCAGAAAATAGTGTTCTTTTCATGAGAACAGAGAAATCTCTAACTGGCCTATATTTGTTCATTTCACAAAATGGGGGTGTTAATGTCGTAAAAAAATCGTCTTCCCAACTTGTGTTATATAATTCAAATAGTGGCTGGTTGGATCCTTTGATAACTATAAGTAGCACACTTGAGCTCGATCTACATATTCATTGTGAAAGTTTGGTATCACTGCAATGGTAAATCACATTTGTGGAATCTTTTCTAGTTTTACTTATTTGACTTCTGAATGAAAGTAATTTATCTTTTGTGAGTTGTGTCATCTCTTATTATTTATGTGTAATGTTGATGGTTGGTTGAATTAAAGTCACTGCTTTGTTGGAATTCAGTTAATGTTTGCAGGAATCTTCTTTTTGTTCTACTTAACAGAATTTATAAACTATATAGTTCATGTTTTTGTTCTATTGAATTTAGAAACTATATTTTTGTTATGTTGTTACACTGAGCTCAATAATCTGATCTCCCACTGGCAAATATTAATATTATCAAAAAAGTATGATGAAAAAGCCTTGTGATGACCCTATAGAACAAGGCCCTGGTACATCAACATTATTACATGTTCTGGACCTGAACAATGTTCTGAAGAAGGAAGGCTTCCTGGTAAAGCCTATATATCCAGTTTGATAAAAATTATTTTGAAGACTCACTAGATTTATGATCCTTGTTAATAGAAATATTTTTCTTACTAGTTGTGCTTAAAGAGAAATAGAAATGAATCACGGTTTAAGTTTCCCTTTTAGATGCTTGAAGTGTCCAACTTAAACGCACTTATTTTGAGAAGTTTAAGAATAAGGAATCAAATGCTTAATACTTTAATTTCTTAGGAAAATCCAATCATGGCATGATTATCTTTATCGAATGAAGTGTATAAAATTGTTAGAAAGAAAAATTAATTATAAGCAGTAGATGAAATTTTAATGAACAAACAGAATTTTAAAAAGTTAAAACGAAGAAGTTACACAAGACATTTATTTATATGTTACTTCTTAACTTATATATCTACCGTTGAATGAATCTGTTAATTGGAATTTTTTGCTGTATATTCTTAAGAGGTGCGAGTTTGGTGTGAAATGGATGAGTTGGATTAAAGTGTGCGTTTGCAATAGTTCGATGTCAGTATTGGTTAATGGCTGCCCGACAAAAGATTTTGCAACGGAGAAGGGTCTTAGGCAAGGGGATCCATTATCTCCATTCCTTTTCATATCGGTAGTAGAAAGGACTAGTTCAGTTGATGTCGAAGGCGACAGTGGCAGGGGCTTTTTCGGGGTTCAGAGTCAGCGAGAATTTGGTTTTTGTTTTACTGCAATTCGCAGACGATATTGTTATAATCGGGGAAGGTAGTTGGAGTAACTTCGAGCTCAGGTTTGCATATTAATTTGTCAAAGAGTTACCTAATAGGAATTCATGTGGAGGAGTCCTTTTTGCAGGCTGCATCAACTTTCCTGTGTTGTAGGCTAGGTAAATTCCTATTTTCATTTCTTGGTATTCCACTTGGTTGTAATCATAGGCATAAGCACGTTTGGAATTCTGTGATAGCTAAGATGCAAAATAGAATGTCTTTGTGGAAAAGTCGGTTTCAATCTATCGGTGATAGAATCACTCTTATCAATGTGGTCTTCAACGCGATTCTAATCTACTTTCTGTCTTTCTATAAGATCCTAAAGGTTGTTTTTAAGGAGATGATTAAGATACAGAGATTTTTTTTGGGGTGGAGGGGATGATAAGAAAGGAATATGTTGGGTGAGTTGGGAAGAGGTTTGTAGGAGCAAGGATAACGATGGTTTGGGTATCCGAAACCTTGAGGCTTTCAATGCTTCTCTTTTGATGGTAGGGTGTTTTCGAGAGAGAGAAAAATTCGTTGTGGTGGTGGAGAGACATTAAAAGATTAGACTTTCCAAAGGAGGCTTCGAATGATTGGTTCACTAATGAAGTCTCTTGTAGTTTGAGAATAAGCAATAGAGTTTATTTCTGGAAAAATAGATGGTGCAGTAGTGTTTTATTGCAGGATTCTTTTCCTCTCCTTTTCAACACAACTCAAAATCCGTTGGCAACTGTTCAAGAAATGGGTGATTTTGTGGAGGGTTATTGGCGTTGGCAGATTCATGAAGAGTTGAATGGTCACAATGATGGGCTTCTGAAGGAACTATTGGCACTGTTAGAAATTCTATCCCAGGCTTGTCCTATTGCGACAGGGGTAGAAGATAGCTTCAGGTGGTGCACAAATATTGTTAGTCAATATGCGGTGAGAGAAGGCTATAAAGCGGCGGCAAATTTAGGTGGTTCAGTAGCTCAAAGTATAGTACAAAAAGAGGCATTTTCAGCTCTGCTGTAGTCGAAAGTCTTGTCGAAAATTTTGGTATTTGGTTGGAGGTGCTTGAAGGATAGAGTTGCAACAAAGGAACAATTATTGCGTAGGGGGTAATTCATAACAGTGGGGATAATCAGTGTGTTTTGTGCTCATCTGAGATCGAATCTTTGGACCACTTAATTCCATTCTCCAAAATGCTAAATTGTCCATTCTCCAGAGAAGTTTGGGAAAAGGTTTTGTTGTGGCCGGGATTGGGTCGCTATGAAGAAACGACAATAGTGGTGGATATGTTGGATTTCAAACAGTCACTTGTGGGCAAGGTGAAACAGAGGAGGATGTTGTTATTTTGGCTGGCAACATGCTGTGCAGTGTGGTGCTCTAGAAATGCTTGCGTCTTTAAGAGCGAGATTTTGTGGTGAGTGCGGTGGTGGATAAAGTAAAACTATTAACTTGGTATTCACATGTTTTTGGTTCTAAAACCAAAGGTTGTAGGTATTTTTATTTTTGGCACAAAAGCCCGTTGGATTTTTGTGTGATTATTGTTTGATTATGTTATCGGGCGAGTACCCTTGTACTCTATTAATATATTATTCCATTGCCTATGAAAAAAACAAATGAGAAATTTGAGGTAGAGGAAGATGCACAAAAATTGTCGATTCTTATTCCTATTTAAACTCCCTCATATGAAGGGTTCTCTAACTTTGACTAATAGTTCTTAATAATGTGCATAACAACCAATTCAGAAGCAAAAAATTATTCTTTCCAACTAATATGCATATCAACCAATTCAGAAGCAGGAAATCGTTCTTTCCTACTAATGTGCATAGTTCCACTCTCACCTCCCCTTTCTCATTCTTTCCTTGCTGTTAATCTATCATGGAAATGCTAAGATGGAGGAAAAGAACCACAAAACAAGGAGAAGGATGATGATGTGCTAAAGAAAGTTGAACATGGAGAATCAAGTAACACAGAAGGAACCCTAAATATGAAATAATAGGATGAACCGAATCAACCTCGAAAGTTGTGGGTTATTGCGTTAAGAGATAACAAAAACTCTAACAATGGAAGGATAATGGAATTCATGGACCCCAAAAGAGTTGACGGAGAAATTGAGGTTGAGATTGAAGTTGAAGATATTATGGAAGAGGTAAAGTTCTAGGACTCATCCTTGATAATGTATGTGTTAGGCGGAGAATTAAGCATGAATACATTTAAACAGTACATGATGTGATTCTGGAATTTTGTGAAACTATCGCATATGTACTATAATGAGGAGGGTTATTATATCCTTCGATTTCACTCGTACACGGATAGAGATGCAGTGGTGACCATTCGCAACATGCCGATGCTACTTAGAGAATTGAAGCCAGATTTTAATATGAAGAAGGACATACTTTGAACACTGCCAATCTGGGTAAAGCTTCCTCAACTCCCTTTTTATCTATGGGGTGCTACTAGCTTGAATAAGATAAGAAGCACATTAGGTACACCTCTTGTCACAAATGAATGTGCTGCTAATAGATATCGCATTTCTTATGCTCACATACTTATGGAAATAGACATAACCCAGGAACCCATCATGGAAATAACTATTAGAGATAATGAAGGAGAAAAGATGAAACAACATGTGGAATATGAGTGGAAACCCATATTCTGTGAAAAATGCCAGAAAGTGGGGCATAAGTGTGAGACAAAACAAGTAACCACCAAGCAATGGATTCCCAAAGAACCACCTGATCAAGAGAAAACAGAAGAAACAAGTACTAAAAACACTACAAAGAAGATGAGAGATGAAGCCACAACTTCAAAGGAGCAGAAAAATGAATGGAAAGAAGTTGGAAAAAGAAATAGAGATAGAGGAAAAAGACAATTGATCTATGCAATACCAAGACAAGTGAACCGTGTGAATGGGTTTGAACCACTATGGATTTTGAAGGATCCTTTAGTGGTACCAGACTCTGTACCATGATCATTGCCTGGAATGTAAGGGGGCTAAATAAAATAGGAAGTATTAAGGAGATAAGCTCCCCTCTCCAAAATATTAGGCCTAAGATTAGTATTCTACTTGAAACTAGAGTGAAGAATATGAAAGCTAAAGGAGTTAGAGATAGAATGAAAACCAGCGGGGAGTATCTGGAAAACTACAATAAACATAGCAATGGCAGGATATGGGTGAATTGGGATGATAACAGGGTTGATATTAGATACATTGAGAGCACAAACCAAATGATTCACTGTGGTGTTTTTGATACTCATGGTAATTTTAAACATTGGCGGTCAGCTATATATGCCATGAATAATCTGGAGTAAAGGAAAAAAATTATGGAAACATATAGAGAAGATTCACTATCAGCAAACAAGACCTTGGTGTCTCATTGGAGACTTCAACAATGTGACTAAAGTGACTGACAGACTGGGAGGGAATATTATGAATGATAAAGAGTATAGAGACCTAACAGACATGATGAATACAGTGGGTCTGTTTGAAATGGATAGCACAGGGGTACATTTCACTTGGTCTAGCGAGCAGGTTGATGGACCAATTTAATCAAGGATTGATAAAGCCTTAGGAAACATGGATTGATTCCAAAATTATATGAACACTACTCTGACTATACAAGCCCCCAATGTATCAGACCATGCTATCTTAATCCTCCATGGTAACACTGATGATAAAAGGGAGAATGGAAAATTCAAGTTTCTTAATAGTAGTACTGAGATGAAAGGGTATGCCTCCACTGTTGAGAAAAACTAGAAGATACCACTACAAGGGAAACATATGCATGTGTTGTGGCACAAGCTCAAGAGAGTGCAACCTGTCATGAGAAATCTCACTAAACCTATTGTTGATCTACCTAAAAAATTGTGCAGGCAAGACAAGACTTACTTACAGCAGAGACACAACTGGCTAATGATAGACTGAGTGAAACTAAGATTGTCCAGGTGAAAAAGTGTACTCAAGAAGTGATTAGATGGCAGGAGATTGAGGAATAAAACCTGCAACAGAGGTCTAAAATAGAGTGGCTTAGATTGGGGCATGGAAACAACGCTTATTTCTATGCCACAATCAAAGAAAAATGCAATCAAAAAGCTATGAAGGGCCTGTACAGAGATGATGGAACACAGGTGACAAATGAGGATGAGCTTAAAGAGGAGGTCATGACCTTTTACGAAAAGCTGATAGGGAAAGCTGATGAGAACTTGAGCAATATCAATATCCCAGCTATGAGAGAGGGAATTCAGTTAACTAATGAACAGAGATAGTACCTTGTCTAACTTGTCAATGAGAATTAAATCTACAAAGATCTGCAGAGTATAGGCAATCTGAAAACACCATGTTTGGATGGTTTTGGTGCCAAAATTTTCAAGACTAGCTGGTTAACTTTCAAACATGACATCGTAGGTGTTGTTATGGAATTTTTCAACAACAATAGGATGTACATAGCTATGAATTGCATAATGGTTACTCTCCTTACCAAGAAGAATGAAGCTAAGAATATCAAGTACTATAGGCCAATTCTTGTTGCACTACACCCTATAAAATCATTTCCAAGATCTTAACAAATAAGCTGGGTAGGGTAATTGGAACTATTGTGAACAAAAACCAAGTTGCTTTTGTCCCTAGGCAGAATATACACAATCACATTCTCCTTGCATTTGAACTTATCAAAGGCTAGGGGAGGAACACCTAGATACATGATGCAAATTGATTTACAAAAGGCATACGACACAATTGATTCGAAGGCTCTTGAATGCATTCTTAACGAGGTTGGAATGCCTAGAAAATTCACAAGGTGGGTCAAGACAACTATCTTTATTGTGTCATATATTTTTAAAAACAATGGTGAGTTAACTGCTGATATGTGATAAGTGTCATTTTGTAGTTATTTATATATTCAGTTTTGCGGCAATTATCATTTGTTTTGCCTCAGCTTTTGTTTATATTTGTGTTTATTGTGTAAATATGTATATTATTGTATTTAATCGAGTTTTCATGTATATTGTGTATCATTTAATAGTTTTACATTCATTTGATATGTATTCATGTATATTTGGAGCTTTCATGTATATTGTGTACCGCTTAATAGTTTTCCATTCATTTTATAGGTACTCATGCATATTTGGAGCATTGAGTAATAAGGGCCAAAGGCACAACTTCAAAGATGCGATTTTGAGCAATTCATCAAAGAATAAGGCTCAAATCAAAGAATAGTAAATCATCAATTTTGTTGATATTTAGTCATTGTTATAAAGAACATTGAATAAGCTTTCCAACGCTTCAAACCATGCGCAAATCAGAGTTACGGTTCTCAAGTTATGGTGAAAACAATGTTGAATTTTCCAATTTGCTATCAGGCTCGCCCCGAGCTCGCAAGGCAGAATCTCATTATAAAGGGGAAAAATAACATTTTTAGGTTACAAATTGGGTGGTTTTTGATCCCACACCATCAAAGATCATTTTTTGTAGGAGAAGCTAGAAAACAATAATGGAACATGCATATGGATGATCCAAAGTTAGATTTCTCATTAATCGGCGCTGACAACCCGAGAGATTTGTGGTTTTCCTCTCTTTCTCTCTATGTATTTCTCTTTTGTTGGTTTTGTTTGTATATTTACTTTTAACATATGTGTTTTACCTCAAAATTTTCCCTCTCATTTATCAAATATTTTCTCACAAAGATCTCTCTTGGCTCAAGACCGCACTAGGGTTGATCAACTCAAGACATCTCCTTAAGCATTGATGACTAAAATTAGGGTTTGAGATTGCCCAAGGATAGTTGAACTTTAAATGATTCATATGACTTTCATGGATCATTATGGACCCTCAAGATTACTCATGTCAAGTTTCAAGCCTCAGATCACACTTTTGTTCAGTCATTTGAGCAGTTGACCTAAAAATCAGTTGTATTAGGGAAAAAAGTCAACTATGACCAATTTACAGTCAAACTTCATAATTTTTTATCCACATCAACATTATAAACTAATATGTATCATTTTATTAAGTTTGAACCACAATTCCTCAA